GAGTGCAATGAATCACTGAAAATTTTGCAGTCGTTCTATAGTAGAGAAATTACCACCACCTTATTAATCTGTCAGAACGAGAGAAGAAAGAGTCAACTGAAAGTTGCGTTCAATTTTTGATGTGTAGCACGAAATATTTCTAATTGTAAGCGAAAATGTTTTGTTATTGATTGAATCACACTTAGGTTTGTCTGATCTTTTTTCATATACATTTGTAGAATAATATTTCAGACGATATTTATTGTTTTCTATATGTTATTTGCACCGTTGTGTGGATATTTGGGTGATCGATTCAGTAGGAAATTCATTATGACTGTTGGATTGTCGGTGTGGATATGTGCCGTGTTCGCATCAACTTTGGTACCGTCGAACGTATGTGCATTATTTCATCAGGCTTGAGTCACCACGATCATCAGAAACTTTCTCATTGAATTGATGTTTCGAGTGTGGCTGATGGTATTGTTCGTTTAGCATTTGAGCTTGTCATACGCCTCAAATGTTTCTGAATGACAAACAAACATAGTCTGATAATTAAAGTTACATAAATAATTAAATTAGAGTTAGATTGTAGTCTCGTAATGAGTTAGATTTGCTGATAAATAATTAAATTTCTGAATGAACAAATCTGTAGTGTTTATTCGTTGATTGTTACGTTGACATCGGTCGGAATTTTAGTGCTTTTGGTTATTTGTACTGTGTCGTGGTGTTGTTGGAATTGGTGAAGCGTCCTATTCAACGGTAGCACCGACCCTGATTGCTGACATGTTCACTGGTAATCGACGTAGCACATCGTTGATGGTGTTTTATTTCGCGATCCCTGTTGGAAGGTAATATTTGCACCTTTTTGCTGTCGTATTTCAAGTATGTTTCGTGAGAAATGCCTATGATTCATGCAGAAAAGTATCTGATCACTGATAAAAGTGTAAAAATTCTTTGATCACCTTTACGATGACGTTAAGAATTTTGTGAAATTGCAGTGGTTTGGGTTATATGGTTGGTTCGAATGTATCGATGTTGGCTGGCTCATGGGAATGGGGTGTCCGTGTCACACCGTTGCTGGGAATTTTTTGTGTGATGCTGATTTGGTTTGTTCTGGATGATCCGATACGTGGTAACGCAGAGAGTGCAATCTTGGAAGAGTCATCGTTATACGATGACATCAAATATTTGACCAAAATGTCAGTTGTCTTGCAATGCTACGTTATGAAACTGTTGCATGATTTAAGTGGTGCTATCGACATCATCGAATTGACTGTACTAGCACTGGAATGAATTTTAATTTTGTGTGACATTTCACTTCAGTCGAACTGCTCCTTTAATCAATTTTTATTCAGTTACAAAATTGTTTTCAATTTTCGATAATTACTACACTTGCAGTTACTACCACATATAATTGTACACTCAACGTGTTTACGAAAAGAGACCGAATACACGCAACCTTGGATTAAGTCTCTCTCCCTACCCGTATATTTTGTCTGAAATTTGGAGAATATGTCATCTGTCTGTTTTTAATTTTATGTGAAATTTGCTGTACAGAATTCATTGTCGCAGCAAAGAGGAATGTTACGAATTAATAACATCCTGTTTAAGCATATGGTTCGAAGCTATCTGAGGGTTCTATAGCAAATTTCAGACCTACCTATCTGTTGTGTACACTCGGCTTTACATCAGTTGTATTCGTGACTGGTTGTCTGTCGTGGTGGACACCAAGCTTAATTCAGCATACGTGGGCGATGCATCACGGTACATCTCATGTTCCTAGCGATGTGAAAGCCGAGTACGGTTCTAATTTGTTTGTAATCGTTTTCATTTATCATATTGCAGTGTTCGCATTTACTATATGTTTATATACCAGGTATCTAGAATCTATTTGATCATTCACGTTGTAATCGTTGCATTAGTAGAGTTAATCCAGTGTTCTTTTCTCTCAAGCATGGAGTTGTTACATTGCCTCCCTCATTCTATCATTTCGACAAAAATTNAATTGCAGAATTTCGTTGATGTTTGGTTTGATCACATGTTCGGCGGGTTTCATTGGCGTTGGAGTTGGTTCCTGGTTTGCTCAGGTATCGTTGTACTCGTTTCAATTCTGAGTTTACCGTTTATGTTCACAAGAATGCCAACTCCGAATATACTATAGCAAGACATACTGCTCAACGCAGTAAATCGCTGAAGTTTTCATTGTTGCTAAATGTTATTTGAGTGTGAATAGATATTAATCGTTCTGTCGAAACATTTCATATTTTGAATTGATATCGTCGAACGATTTTATCAAAGTTTTGTTTTTTGAATGTTTTTTGTTTTTTATCGATTCGTTCTCACGAAATCAGTAAGAATAACTGCAGAAATGGCGCAAAGGATGTTTGTGTTTGAAATCGAACGAATGTGCAGATGCGCACGTGTGTGCAATCGCTGCTCTATTGGCCATACCGCTTCTCTATTTTGCCATCGTTTTCTCCGCTAATCATCAATTTTTGTTTTGGGT